GAGGTGTGTATACTGTTTGTCATTCTAAAGACTATTAGTAATTATCCAATGATACGACAAGATATTTAAAAAATATAGAAATAACTTAATATAATATAACTTAAATTAAGAATATTTCAAGCTATTCTGAAGTAAACTTTTAATATTAACATTGAAATTTAATAAGTTGATTGTTTATATTTTTTTAAATGAAATTATAGAAAAGATGATGTTTAAATAAATATTTACATTTATTAAGAAACCAAATATATATTTTTAAAAAAATTCAAATTTATAAGCATAAATCTGCCAATATTAATTCTAACAATGCCAATATATATTTTTGGGTGGTTATGAACCCCAACAATCTGATATTACATTACAAAGATAAATTTTATTCTAATTTAATCTTTTTTTATATTTTAATATTCCTCTCGTAATTTATTTTGTATGGCGCCACGAATTTCTTCAAATATATGACACGCTGCAGCATTACATAATTCATAACAATTAAAATACTAGAATAATAATAATAATAAAGTATATATATTATCGTTTTTCAAAGACAAATAAATAGATTCTTATAACCTTAGAACTCACCTGTTCTTCGGTAAATAATCCCAAAGATTCACAAAATAATAGGGTAGACGATGTTCTATCAAAGGCAAAAGTATGAATAGATTTCGCATTTTCCATTTCTTGTGCTGTAGGATCCAATAATATTTTATCATCTTTATTTACAACGCAAGAAACAGCCGCGACGAGATCTTTCATTGGAATCCCTGCATTGATTAAAGCAATCGTAGTTGCATTTATTGCAGCTGCCACAATCTAATCAATTAAGGATCAAAAATCAGTAAAAATCATATAAATATACTTTCATAAGATCAAAAAATAAAAAAATTTAACAAATATTTACACTCCCATCATCCATCATCACTTGTGAAACAATTTGAATTTGTGTCCTCGGGTGTAATCCAGCTTGAATAACGTTCTCAAATGTTGAACGTATAATATATTCATGAGTTTTATCCTTTGTCCCTGTATTTAAATAATTAATTGATTTTAATAACATTCATTCAATTCATTTAAAATTCAAAGTTACCTGTTGTGCCAACTAAAGGTTTAACCAGCACATCAATGGTGGCTTTATCCAATTTTTCGTCTCTTAATTTAACTTCAGCTGGACCATTTATTGAACAAAGTACGGAAGAATTGCCTAAAAGAAATCGCAATTAACTTGGAAATAAAGCCATGTCAAAATATAAACAAGGAAATTTACCGAAATTAAATCTAGCAGAACCATCTCTACTAAGGAGACTTTGATCAATTGAAATGGGACGTATCGTAGAAGAAGAACGTTTATCAGTGCGCAATGCCATTATGTACCCTTGAATCTGGAAAATTTGTGAAATTTTTATCAACATCATCACGTGTTTATTGATTATCTTGATCGAGGACCAATGAAAAGTTCATTAAACGATTAAATTTTTTTTTTTTTTAAATAATAATAATGAGTTCTTTCAAAAAACGAGTTCAAACCAAACAAACGAAAATTCCTCAGGGAACACGTTTATCACCATATAATGGACAATTATTGATTTCTACTGGAGTACCATCACTTGATGATATCCTTTTAATCAAAAAATTCAATGATGAACGACTTGATAATTATTAGTTATACCTTGACTTTTATAAAATTATTTTCAAACATATTCTTGGTGGAGGTATACCAATCGGAAGTGTATTATTAATAAAAGAGGATCGACATACGGAGTATGCTAGATTACTTTTAAAATACTTTTTAGTTCAAGGAATAGTATCTGGACATCATGTTTTGTTAAGTACGGCAGAAGAGAGAGAACCAAAAAATTTTATAATGGGGTTGCCTTGGTTATCAAATGAATCTGATGATATTGGCGCTGAGGATGATGACAATACCATCGAATTAGAAGAGAAAATGACAATTGCATGGCGTTATAAAGGATTAAAAAAATTTGAATCAAGCGTAAAAAGTAAACCCAATCTTCTTCTAAATAAACAAATTTCAAGTAACGAAACAAACCCTCATCAAATCGAAAAACCATTTTGTTCAACTTTTGATTTAACAAAATCAATTCCTCAGCATATTATGGATAATGCATTATTGACATTAGTTAATGTAAATGAATTAAATGAGAATTCATATCATACACTTTTAGATAGAATACGCAACGTCATTGAAGAAAATCATTTGAATTCTTTGTTAGTACCACCTTCAAATGTTGAAAGAAATGCGCTTAGGATTGGAATACATTCTATCGCTTCACCATCATGGCAATCAAGATCATCTCATGTAAGTAAGTTAGTTATATTGGTGTAAACTTTTTCTATTCAAATTTTCTTGGATAACATTAATGTAGATATTCATTATTCTTTTAGGATATTTTTGCATTCTTGCACGCTTTACGTGGTTTATTAAGATTTTCATTCGGTGCAGCTGTTATTACAATTCCGGCTTATCTATATTCATCCTCATCTTCAGAACCGTGTTCGTTCATAAGAAGAATTGAACACATGTGTGATGCAGTTGTCGAAGTTGAATCATTTGCAGGTATTTATTCAAGATATACAAATTATTATGTAATCATTTTCCTGTTTATTGTTAAAATTTAATCTGAATTTTCGGCTTTTTTTTGCGTAGGATCCCCTGCAACTAATAACGCAATTTATAGTGCCACATATCATGGATTATTCCATGTTCATAAGTTACCAACACTTAATTCACTCATATCTTCATCTACAAAATTATCAGTATTATCAAGTGGTAGTGGAAATAATCTAGGATTTAAATTACGTCGTAAAAAATTTACTATTGAAACTTTTCATCTACCACCTGAAGGTGGTGTTAATGAACGACGTGTTGGTCCCGAAACAAACAAGTCTGTGAAGAAGGATGATAAAAATAAACCGGGTATTGGTAGTGGATGTGGGAGTATTCCAGGAAGAAATGTTGATCCATATGATTTCTAATTAAACGACATTTGATTAATTTAGTTAATAATGTGGGTAAACTTAGTAACAGTTAAATGTAAAACAAGGAGGATTAAATAATTTGCAATGAGGCTTTATTAATTTTATTGTAATATTTTGGGTTCGTTTTTTTTTTTATTAAACTTTAAATAAAGAACTAAATGATAAAAATTACAAATTTATGAAAACAATTAAAAATTTTTTGTAATACGAATTAAGAATATGCTAGCTAGCATTTATGAATTTTGTTTTTAAAATATTTAATTGAAAAATAATTCAAAAAAATGTTGAAATAGGAGAGAGAAATTATTCAAATCATTCGTTATCCGCAACATTTCTTCCATTCGTTACCTAATAATTTTAAAAAAAATTATATGGAAAAGATTAGATAAATCTAAGTAAGCCACCAAATAGATAAATAAAACAAAGGAAAAGGACGTTCTCGCTAGTGCGAGGCCACGAAGCGCTTCCAGTTCTCCTCCATTCTATTCACTAAAATAATGATCAATCATAATGGACCTTTAAGGTAGAACTAATTCCTTAAACGCCTGCCA